ATATCTGACGATCTCTTATAGACCGTAAATGTATCGACCTTAATCTCGAACAGTAGAACTACGTTAGAGAGGCTTATGATGCCGCTACAGCCACTGCAGACCCTTGTTGCTGCATCTTTAGCTTATCATCATCTTCAGCAACTGCTGTTCGATGGCAAGTTGTTGCTTTCTTCTCATCCTCCTCCTCCTCCTCTTGCTGCTGTTGCTGGTGTGCCTCATCACCATCAGCTTGAGCAGGTTGCCGTGCGACAAGTACGGAGCAGTGTGCTTTATGTGCTATATAGAAACTGAGACATGAACAAGAAGGGTCCTCATCAACATAGAGTGATGTTGGTAGTATTACGGAAAGCTATTAGGATGGAAGAGATGAGAATGTCCACCATAACCAGTAGCTATAATGTCAACATTCTCTCTCTGAGCATACTCACACATTGCTGCAGCAGGTAAAGGGCCTGCAGTAGAGGACATCACGTGTGTAGAGTGAATAAAGCTGAGCTTACTAGCTTGTAGGACTTTAGCTGAGAATATCAACTCATCATCAGCCTTATGTTCATCCATGACCTCCTTCAAATCACCCATAAGTATATCTTCAATGCTTGCAGTACCTTCCAGTGGTGGGGCTACTACATGTACCTATCACTATATATCACACATATTCCAAGTACTGCTACTACTACTACCGCATTGCCACCAGCCGAGAAGTCTGGTGTAGTCACTAATTGGACCTCATCTCCAGGTCTACAAAGCCGCATAGCTGCACGAAGAGCTTCTATTGAATCCTCCCTAGAAAGAGTGAGCCGCCTTACGAGCTTCGCCACACAATCGCCACAGAATGGCTTCCTACCAGTTGTTGCTCCCAAAACATACCAACACCTTCATGGGACGATTGTTATGTACACCAGGTAGTACCACCGCCTTAGAGTCATCACACTTGATCGCTGTGTAGAAGTAGAATCACCAACCTATAGTGCTGCTGTATACTCCAACCTACCAGCCTCGGCAAACTCTGCCACATCCCCATTATCCTCATCATCAGATTCATTGGGAGTACTAGTAGTAGAAGCCGCCTCATTCTCTCGTAAGATTAGGACATCACATGGAGATTCTCGCACTACATACTCCACTAATGATGCCAACTTGAGGTAGTGTGTCTAAGATACACTCCACTACTACGGTCATCCCATGGCAGGTAAGACTACCGAGCCTCCAGATCCAATGGCCACGAGATCTGGTTCAGTTTCACTACAGTACTCCATGAGAGTATCTAGTATAATCATCAAGGCAACAGCAGTCTTCTCCAGAGATAAGTACCTCTGATATCCTTAGTCGCTTCAGCGACATCGAATGTTGTCTCGAGTTGAGGGTATTCACTAGCGATGTTCTTGAAACGTCTCTCATAGTCATTGGACTCATCAATACTCTCCTGTTTAGTAGGTACATGATAACCTGAGGGGACGGGAATCATTTATCATCATACATACACTACTACCATTAATTGATATGCTACTGCTACTATCAGGATGTTTCCAAGACGATACCAATCCGAATATGTTACTTAATGCAGTCTCTGATGCACATGGATTAGCACCACCAAGGCATACCACTATTCTGTTAATATGTGGTGATCGGTACCTGATAGTCCTCATGATAGCCATACCACAATACCAGTATTGACGTACCATGTCTTGGATGCTTGCTTTTGCCAGCTTCTTGAAAGCATCTTATGGAATAATCCGCGGTATAACATGTTATAGATAAGTGGGTTAAATACATTCCTAAGAGGGTGATATCTAGAATCCAACGAGGAATAACAACAACACAGTTCAGGAATAACAGTAGTGGAAATGAGAACTTCGATAATTCAACTCATAGAGACATAAAAAAGGACCAGTGCAACCAGACCCCACTCGCTATCACACGGGCGAGGACCGATATATAAGGCAATCGTACATTCGTCGGCAAGAGTGATCGCAACGCAACGCAACGCAATGCTTATTGCCGGGCTTTACGGGCTAGCAGCCGATCGCCCTCAAACGTACAATAGCCGGCTCAGAAGTACCCGTGAACATAATGAGGCTAGAACCTCGTCGACACCAGAAAGGCTGCTACGACAATGAAACATGTATAATCCTGAAAGGCCCGAACGAGAAGAAAAAGGAAAAAAAAAGAAAAAGAAAAAGAAAAAAAACAGAATCAAACGTGGTATCCAGACTTCGTAATAAGGGTAAACGCGACCGAGAGCATATCACGATTACCGTAAAGAAGACGATACAAGAACTCGTCAGCTCTAGCGAGGGGAATGTGTAGAGGGAACGATACCGGACGATACATACTGAGCGGAATGCAGTGAAGGAGGAGGTGTACCACCGAAAGAGGGGACGAGTGACATACAGGACACAAGTGGGGGTGGAAGAAGGGAAGAAGGCCAAGCCGAAGACGGTAAAGAAGACGCTGTTCCACCCGAGTAAACTCGTGGATGGGATCAGATGCCCACGAGAAACGATGATCTGGGGGCTCCCCAGGCAAGGCGGCACTAGACCGCTCATGTAGCTGCTGGAAACGCTGACGTAAGCGATGACAGGTACCAGGGAAGGACTCGCGGGGGAAGGAGGGAGGAACCCAAGTTTGGTCTTTGGCACGGTGATCGACTTCGTCATGCAGCGCAAATCCGACGTGAGATTTTAGCCAT